AAAAACAATGATTTTATTTTACGCAAAGTTACCATATCGAGGACACATTCAAATAAATAGATGCTTATAAAATAATAGTTTTATTTAATAAATAAAGACTTCCATTCTGAAGACATATTTAGTTAAGAATATTCCAAGAGATGTTAGTTACTATTCAAAGGTGGTATGACTTAATTATAAACTTAGAAAATTTGATGATAAAATTTTCTAAGGTAGTTAAACAAGAATTATTACTATTCAGATATTATAAAAGGACCACACAAAGATAAAATATAAGCTTAAATCAAAATTTCATTCAAAAAAGATAAAGTACATGATTTAAAAAGGCATTATTGACCATTAAGGAAACATAAATGATTAAGGAGTAGAAGGAGCATCATGCTAATCAAGATTTTCTTCATCATTAACCACTTCTTCTATTGCCTTAGCCTAAGGAGAGTTTTGTTGAGAAAAAGTAGGGGTGACGTCATTGGTGGTAGCCTCGTCAAGAATGTTGTCCAAGTTAAGAAAATCTCCTTTGTAAAAATCTTTCCCAAGGTCAAATTGGAAACTTGGGAGGACTTCTAAAAAGTGCATAGCTTGATGAACAATAAGATGAAAACCCTCTTCACGCTCTTTGTAAATTTTATCTTCAATATTAGCCTTGTATCTTTCATATGTGACACCATTATCCATCTCAATAGTTAAGGATTCAAGACACTCTTCAAAATCTTCACTAAGCTTTGTATTAGCATCAATAGATTCCTTAAGCTAATTCTTCAAGTTATCAACTAAGTCTTAGAGTCTTCGACGAGCATTTTCAATTTTCTTATTTTCAATAGTAACCTCCTAGTTTGTATGATGACAGAGGCAAAGGTAGTCTCAAACTCTTTCAGCTTTAACAAAAGCTTGTTTGTTGGCTATTAGTTCCAAACAAAGTTTTGAGTGATTCCTAATGATCATCCCATTAATTCATACAAGATTGACCACTTGGTCAAAGAATTTTCTTAGGTAAGAAAGTCGCGTCCGTCAGACAAAAAAAGGCCTTGATCGAATAACTCTCGGGTGTTAAGAGTCGAAGGGAGAAAAGTGGTTGTGGCCATAAGAGAAGGAATTGAGTGAAGACCCACATAGAATGATGTTTCTTTTGCTTTAGCCTCCTTTTTTTAGCATCTATCTTTAAATTCTTAGTGGTTGTTTGCTTAGAACCTTTCTCATTTGGACATTTCCCTTGAGATTTCTTCTCAGACCAAGGAGGGTTCACATTCCCAGGTGGATCTTGGGCAACTCCTAGTTGAGTAGGAGGCTTGTAAATTGCAGTAGTGGCAACAGTGGCCTCGGTGCAAGCACGCTCTTTGCAACCCTAGCAAGAGGAAGCCATTTTAGCACCAGTCAAAACCATTATACTTATAAGAAAAAAGAAGTCAACAATCAAATTAATATACTAATAGATGATTTTCAAAGAACAAACTTTACATTTAAGGTCTCTAATAGGTTCAGAAGATTTATGCAAGGAAGATTCCAAGGCAATGTGTTCAAGAAAGACAAATCTATGGCTTCCTCAATGGAAAGATAGTCAATAGGAAGTTCATTATATTGGAGCTGAACATGAGTCTAGCATAGAGGAAAAAATGATTTGTCTTGGTTGTCCAAAAAGTAAAAATGATATGAAGGATGGATTCTTATTTTGAAAAAACCTACTTTAAAAAATTTAAAGAAAATGTATAAGGATTTAAAAGCTTTTGGGTTGAAAGTCAAGCTAAAAACACCCATTTGACATAGGTATATTTATATAGATTTCAAAAAGCTTGCATGAAAGCCCAACAATTTGAATGAAGTTGAGTAGGAGCAATGTTAAGAACTCTAAGAACAATAGTAATAAAAGGGTTAAAGGGAGAAGTAACACCAAGGTCTCGAAAAAGACAATCGTACATGAAAAAGAAATGTCTTATGTCCTATGAGGTTTTCTAGGTGAAGACATAATCTAGGTTAGGAGAATCATCAATTTTGCAACATCTAGAAAATATGGGGAAAACATCTTCTTTGGCAACATAAGTAGAAAATTTGACAAGATTTATGAAGTTTTCAAGAGTTCTCAAGTCACTAAAGCGAGAATTATATGTAGCAACTACTTCATGGACCCATTCAAAACTAGGTAGAATCTTAGATTTACTGTTCTATTTAGAAGAGTTAGGATCCAAGTCTTGGAGCTGGGTCGAAGACTCGACTACAACATTAGGGGGAATATTATCTGATGAAGAGGATAAATCACAGAAAGTTGAGGAAGACAAACTCTCAAAAGAGGAAGAAGAGTTGCTCATATTTACCTTGTGAATAAAACAAAAGATTCAAAAAGAGAAATGGGTGTTGTCAATCTTAGAGTAAACATAGGGGAGTAGTCGATTTCAAAGCAATAAATTTGATGAAAATGAACTCTTATTTATAGTGGGTTGAAAAGGTAAAGCTAAAAGATTATGGCTATTGGATCAAATTGAATAAACAATTATCAATAAGAGACCTCTTAGTGGCTCTTCGTTTCAAGAAGGCAATTGAAAAGACACGATGACTTAAAGGCAAAGTGTTTTAGAATCGGCATGGTCAGAGAAATTAATGAGTTATCTCGTTTACTAATAAAGGTTGAACAGATGTAATCATTATGTTTTCTTCAAATTTATAAATTTTTAATTAATAAATTCTTGAAAGTTTGGGGGCATATATACTAGAAGAGGGTAACCAAAGGGTAAAATTGAGGACCAAGTTGAGCCGAGGACTTGTCGGCTTGTAAATTAACATATACATTTGGGAATTAACTTAATAAGAATACAAAGATAATAGTAATCAAAGGTTATTAGGCTTGTTGTTAAAGGCTTAGACTTAGTTAAGGTTAATATAAATAATAATGTGTTAAGAGGAAAAATGTAATTTTTGATTACATTTATAACATTTATTATACGTTAACTTGTATGAGATTGAAGACTAACTTGGACTTCTGATAAGTTTCTAATTAGTATGATGAAATATAAATTTGAGACACTTATCTAGCACAATTTTTGTATATATTGATATAATTTTGGTCAATACACTTAGAATCAAATAAAGGCTCTTAATTTACGTATTTACAAGGAGTGATGAGTCTTTTGATAAGATTTTCCTCTTATTTTGTAGCTTTTGAAGTTTGGAGGCAAACGGCTCAGCCTTCAAAAGGGCTGAGCGCTTTCAAGCCAAAGAGCTTAGCAAGTGCAACAGAGGAGATGCGCTTAGCCGTTCCAAAGCGCTGAGCGGTTTTGGTCTTGGAAGAATGAGTGCTCTCTGCCTCCTAAGCGCTTAGTGAATTTCAGGCGCTCAGCCCCTTTGCTTGCTTCATTGTGAAGAATGGTCTCAAGAGCTCAGCAACCCTTCAGATTACTTCATGTTGAAGAATTCTCCAAACCACTCAACCGTTTTGAGGCGTTGAGTGGTTCCTTCTCTTTCCTGCCCACTCTGTTTTGATTCTGGCAACTATAAAAGGGTAGAGGAGAGAGAAAATTGATTATCACAAGTTGCACGAGAGAAGAACAAAGACGAGGGAGTGAAACAGAGCATCTTGGAGCTCGTGGGAACGTGGTTCTTAGGAGGATCTCTTTCTTCTACCTAGCTTTCTTCTTGTTATTTTGTGATTTCTTGTACCATGGAGAGCTAAAGCTCTAGGGTTGGGATTGATGTAGTCATCAAACTCCTGTGTATTCCTTTTTGATTCATATATATTTTACATCTACTATTTAGTGTCAGTGATTTGTATTCTGTTCTTAATGCTTTGATAAACTGATCATTTATCTTTGATCTTGGATTTAGAATTTGGTTGGAAAACGTTTTCTGAATCTAGATTTGAAACAAATCACCTATTAGTTTTAAAAGCCAGGGATGGTTTCGAAATTAATAGTTGCAATAAGTTCTGATTCTTAATGCAAGACATTTAACTGAATGAAGTGAAGAATCATTCATTGAGTTAAATATCTTAGAATTTCTTATGCCAAGGAATTGGGTCTGAATGAATATAGAGAACTCAATGGCAATGAGTAATGAAATCATTTGCAAGAATCATTAGGAATACATAGGAGGGAGATTGATGAAATTTAATCCCAACTGTTTCTCATATCTGTTTTTCTTAAATTTAATCTGACTTTGATTACTTAAATTTAAATCACTGCTCATATCAAATATTTAAGTACATGTGTGAATACTCAAACTTTGAAATTACAAGTAACAATTAGTATAATAGAAATCAAGATCTATTTCACAAGTCCCTGAGGATCGACAACTTTTTACTATATATTACAGAGACTTGAGTGCGCTTGCTCGGAAAACTAACAACTTTGGAATGACTTTTGCAGGTATACTCTTTTTCTCTTCGGATAAGTAGGACTAAAGACTATTACATTAATGTAAATAGGTAAGGATGAAAGCATTCACTCCTTTCAAACAAGAGTAGTCGAGGGCAATCATAAGAAGCCGAATACTTGAAGGACGAGACTCGATAACAAAAGATTAAAAATGCATATAAAGTGATAAAATTATCTATCTACACTTGTGTAGGTACATTTCCTATGAAAAAAAATGTTAATAACAATATCTTTGACACTCTCTTACTAATACTTTTTACATTATTAGTTGAAAATAACAAATTTTGGTAAATCTTATTACTATATCAAAAGAATATTATTAAATGAGATGTAAAATCTACAAAATTCATGATTTTCAATAATAAAGAAAAGTGTTATAAGAAAAATAGTGTCGATATTCCTCTTCCATAGTAATGTTCGATCACACCTATAACTTCTCTTCTTTTTAATTATTTTTATTAAATTATTTAAAATTTTAAAAATATTTCAAAAAATATTAAAATATAATCACATGCATTTTTAAAATATACCTGAAAATAGCATTTTAATTAAAATATTTCTAAAATGCAATTCGATAACATGAAATAAACGCTGGTTAAAATAATGACGTTCGTCCCCCGCTTCACGTCACAAGTTCACTATACCGTCATTGGCGCATTTGGAAGCGAGTCGTTGTCTTGTATTGTATCAATCAAGAAAAGAAAAAATCGTTGTGTTGAGTAGTTGAATCACCTCCACTCCTTTATTGAGAATCTAAAATCTAAAACTAAACTCTAAAACACAATGAAAAAGAATACATATACCCCACGATTTCCACTTCTCTAGTCAAACATGGGACATAAAGTCATACTAAGATACACGTACACCAAACATAGCCATTATTCGTACAAGTTGAAATGTGGAATCACTTACACGTCCACCATGTCGACAACAATAACAATACAATTAAAAAAAAGAGTTTGTATAGATATAAATTTAGTAAAATATTTAGTGTCTCTCTAAATAGAAAAAAAAAAAAAAACTTATATATAAACATATTCTAAATAAGGATTGCCTTGTTTGTTTGATTGTGTTGTATTGTATTTCAACTTGGCTTGATGAGGGAAATGACCAAATTGATGTATCTGGTCCTAGTCTTGGATAAATGCTCCTCTACAATTTCTGCATACCTTCGAAACAGCTCATCCATTATGTGACACCCGAAATGCCATTCAAACATGGACTCAACCACTGCCCTAATGGTCCTAGCCACTCGTTCTCCTCTTGACAATGGAGAAGCATCACCTTCCATTTCCATTCCACCGTCCCAATCGATTTCATAAGCCTCGTGCCCATCCACCATGAATGACCCTTCCTTTTGAATCTCCGATTTCACTTCCTCCAAACATGGTGCATAGTACGGAGCGTCAAAAGAATCCACCTTCTCCTCTTCTACAAGACCCTACATATACATATACATACGTACCATGATTTTTCAATCAAACATTTTCACATGTTTTTAACATGCATGATGCAAATTTAAGTTTACTTGTGCAAACTTTTAATTAAGTAATGAATTCGGCATTTGCTTCGGCTATCCAAGTCAAGGATGTCGGCTGAGGTACGTCGTCGTCGGTTTCATTGCCTATGCTTATTTTTCTTTTTGGGTATTAATTATAAGACTAAATATGTTTGCAATTTTAAACCTTTAAATCAATTTTATTTTGTTTTAGTTCTTAAACTTGTTATGAATTTTTTATTTTATTTTTATGTTAGGTACCAAAATATATAAATGAGCATATGGTACTTTGGAGTGAAATGAGTGTAATTGACATCACTACAACGGCAACTGCAATAGTCATAAGTCATAACTACACAACCACAATTTAGAATATGGGTAGGTCATAGGTGCAAAGAGGGGTCAGTGTCGTTTATTTATGTACCTCAGAAACCATGGTCATGAGAGAGCGTGCCAACAGCTCCCACTGATAGCAACTATGGCCAGTGGTTGGATCCATGGATTCCCTACCAATAAGAGACAACACCATGCGTCCTCCACTTACCATCTCTTGTGAACGTGAAGCCAGAAACACTGAAAAATCACTTTTGAATTGCTCAGAATAAGCATCCAAAACGCACTCAGGACTGCTCTTTGATATGTAGATCTTTCCCTTGTTCAGTGCTCTCCCACAACCATCCTCCAAACCACCAGGAACCTTGTACCTCGATAATAGTAATCATTAGTTGTCAATCACATTAAAAATGTGCATCTTCAACTTTCCTTTATCTTTTTTCTGTACTCATTCATTTATTCCTCTTTTATGAAGATTCCTGCATCAATATATATCTCTATACCACGACTTTAATGGTCTTACATATTCTCAATGTAAAAATTATAATTAAGTATGACTTTTAAATAGAATAAACTTATCATAGACATGACCATTAAATTCTTTGGCATATGTCTCTTCACATTATTAAAAAATAAAATAAAATAAATAAATACGAGTGAATAATATTGGGTTTTAGTAAAATTAAAAATGATATATTTATTGTTATTTTTAATTGATAAAAATCTTAAATCAGATTCCAAAATGAGGGAGTAATTTATATACTTCATCTGTTCAAAAATAACTGCATGCAATTTTAATATTTGAAAAAGTGTCAAAATGGTTGATATTTTAGTTTTTAATATAATATTAATTCTATTTTTTATTAATTTGTCTTCTAATATATTTTTTAACTACTATAATTAAAAGTGATATATATATTAATTAAATGAAATTATTTTAATAAAATCATGTAAAAAAATATTTATTTATTGATGTTGTTAATTTATGTATAACATTAATTAAGACACAGGAAATAGTATCCACCTGAGAAAGCCAATGGAGGCTGGAAGAAGAGTGGACAAAGTGGAGGCTATTGCTTGGGAAAAGCCTGCCATAGAAAGTTCCAGGGACTGCTGAAATAAAACAAGATCCAAAGCCACTTCCCTTTTCTTGCTTCTGCTTTCTGTAGAAAGAAGGCAATGAGCCAAATATGTTGTTGAAGTCATTCGTGTAAAGGTCATTCAAATACACCACCAACTCAGGCATTGGCCGATCCAAGAGGCGTGAGGTGGAATACACATCATCCACTATCTCAGATATCACCCTTAACGCATTCGGCCCAGAGGAACAACCCAAGTCTGCAATGCCCATCTTTTCTGGCAAACTTGAACACAGAATTTGCACAATAGCTTTCTTTGTTGCTGGCTTTGCTGCAGAGATAATCTTATTCTGCAAAATTCACACGAATCACATGTAAGTGAGGAAGAATGTGGAAGCTAATCATAACTATTGGCTTCTTCAAATCACATCTGAAACAAACCAAACACATTATATACTTTGGTAATAAGAACGGTATTCGTATGTGATGGGAAAAACTTCAAACATACACAATTGGTCACCCTCTTAAATGCATAAATGTTCTCGAACTTTCTCCCACAAGATCTTGATCGTGAACTAGAGATTTGTAAGATTTTGATAATGAAGTTTCACAACTGAGTCAAGAGAAGACTATTAGCATGATTTGGTTAGTTTTTACTCCCGATAACAATTACAACGTGTTAAAAGAGACATTATCCAAGGTCTTATTTGGAGAAGCTCTAAAGCATTTATGCATCTAAAAGTATGAAATATCCAAATTCAAGATTCAAACTCTGGATAGTTTAGATATAAGATACAAGTAACTATTGTTTGTGGGAATTAATATTGGTAAACACACACGTATATACACAAACAACAATTAATAAAATATTTCATAGGTTTTCTTTTCAAAAAATATTTATTTAATGTGTATATATAAGTGAATTAACTTGAACGGTGTCAATTAATATTGATAAATACACATATACACACAGCGCCCACATATATATATATATAAACAATAATTATAGGTTTTCTTCTCAGAAAACATTTATTTAATGAGTATATGTAAGTGAATTAACCTGAACGGAGGAGTTCATGGCGTAGCTAGTTTCGCCTGCGCCTTTGTTCATGTGAAGTATTTCGAGGGTTTCCATTTCCTTCCTTCGGTCTGTTTGCATAGTAATGAACACAGTGTTGGAGTTGAAGACGTAACTACGAAAAGGGAAGTGAAAAGTTGAAGAATGGTCCTTTGTATACAAGAAGGTACCTTAAAGGGGAAGGAGGGAGAGGGAGAGGTGTGAGTATAAATAGGGAGTAGTCATAGCAAACTTTACATAGGAGATGGAGATGATCCACAATTAGGTGGTTATATGCCTGTCACGGACCCGAATCTGACATTTCAACAATGTGTTCCTCATTGTGTTTTATTTCACATTAACTGTTTGTACTTTTCTTAAGCAAATTTTCATTTCTTTCTACCTCTTTTATGTTTTTTTTTTTTTTTATAGTTTAAATACATTTCTAGTCCATCTAAAATGAAGTTTTGATTTAATTTCAATTTAAAAAATATTTGTTTTTTCTAAGATTTATAATTATTATTTGTAATCTAGTCCTAGTTAATACTTATATGTTTATTACAAGTTAAATAATTATCTTAAGTAATATTAACAATTGTTTGAAATATTATGGAAATATGTGTTACTTTTAATTTTTCTTATAAATTTTTAAGTCAAATATTATTTATCTAATTTAAAATAAATATTAGGAGACAAAAAATAATGCCTTTAAATTTTATAAAGATGTAAATAATTTTTTTTTTCATAAACTAAAACTAAAATTTGCTTATATTACTAAAGTAAAAATAATGATTCTAAATTATAGGGGAATAGAAAAACAAAAGTATAAAGAATAAAAAAAGTATAACTTCTCATATCTCTTTCTTTCTCTTTGTACTAGTATTTTAGTTTGTATAATACATAATCTGAATGTTTATTATATATAACTAAAATTTAAAATAAATTATAGATAAAAATAAATACTATATTTGAATATATAAATTATATTTAAAAGTTGTATAAATAAATATTTTTTAAATATGTAAATGATATTTTAAATTTATGATAAATAAGTTATATTGTAATACAATATTGTTTTTATTTATTGAGAATTTATTTTAAAAATATTAAAAATTAATTTATAAATAATTATGATAAATAAAAAAATTAAATAAAATAAAATTTTAAAAGAATTTCTAAAAATTTTCTCATTGAAGAAAAAAATCCTAAAATTGTTGTTGTGCAAGATAATCATTCATGTTTAATTAATATATAGGATTTAATAAATTGTTTATATCTCTTTTATTTAATTCCCCATTCTTTTTTTTTATATACTTGGAATGGAAAAGATAAAAATATTGTGTTAAACACCTAGATGTCTAGTTTAACAAATGTAAAATAATTAAAGATGAGAAAAATAAAATAATAATAAAAAATACAAATAAAATTTAAATCAATGAAAAGCTTATTTATGATCACTTATCATAATCTAATTTAGAAACCAAAACATTAAATTGTTTCTAAATACTTCTCTTCTTTATATTTGTTGCTCAACTTTCCAAAGAAATATCACACACCTCTCTATTTCAACAAATAATTATCAATTTTTCACACACTGAGCTCTCATCCTTATTTTTTTTTCAAAATTTTTTGCCCTCAAATAGAAGGAATTTATGCACACATGGTCTCAATATTCTCTCTCTCTCTAACAATGAAAAAAGAAAATAAAAGTATAACAATGATGATGATGATGATAATGAGGTGAGTGATGGAGGACCATCCATGAAGACCATTGGACCTTTGACTAGGCCCATGGCTAGAAAGATTAAGAAAGCCACAAGAGAGGATACATTTCATAGGCCTATGCTCTTTATGAGTATTAAGTATTCTTCCTCCCCTAGTACTTGATCTTTCTATTTGTATATAATATCTTAGTATAGGATTGCTTTTATTGTTTAGATATATGTATAGGTTATTTTAGACTTGTATTTTGGTCTACATAGTATAGGATGCCCTTAGTTTGCAGGACGTGTCCTTATTTTAAGGACAGTTTTTTGTGACTTTTTCTTTGTTTGTTTAGGCCTTGTATTTTGGCAAAATAGAGTAGGAAGTTTAGTCCTTGTATTTTTTTTTCATTTGAGGGTGTAAATAGTATTTTAGGATATAGGTGTAACTAATAAAAGTTCATTGTGTGGCTTGTGGGACTTCTTTGGCCCATATTTATTTGGAAGGATGGTGTGGTTTGGCTTAGGTTATCTTTGGATTGACCAAAACACCTTATTATTCCTTGTAAATCTCAACCAAAGTGTGCTAGGAAGCAAGTCACATCACATATGAACCATGCCTAGTCACACCTTGGACACTTGTGCCAAATGGCACTCTCCTAGTAGCTCTTATAGATCAAATGCCTCCACCTTATCTCCTAGCCATCATGGATTATCCATATGGCATTTTTTAATTGGAGAGTTTGAATTTAGATGTTGCCCTTGGAGGGAACCATTTGGGTTAGTATTTCACCATAGTTAGGTTAAGGTTAAGTAGCTTGAGTTCAAGCTAACCTAACCTAGGTTAGCTTAGCTTGCACCACAAGCTTCTAAAACTCTATATATATTTGATTCTCCTTGTATTGTTGCTCACTTTTGGCTTATAGGATCAAATTATATTCACCAAATTCTTTCTACAAAGTCCTTGTTCTCTAGAAGGAGAAACTTCTCCTTATGTTCTTTCATTATGGACTCCTCCTTGTGACAAGAACTCTCACTTGCTAATCTTCAAGCTTTGGAGTGGTGCATCCATCTTCTTCCTATTTCCATATTCTTTCTTATGAATTGGAGTCTTGAATCCATGGAAAAGATTGGGAACTTCAAAGGATCCTAAAGGAGGAGAAACAACAAGCATCTCCACCACTAGTTTCCATCAGTGAGTAAGTCCATGCAGAGGCTTGACGACAATAAAATTCAAGATGAACTTGGTATTTTGTGGATAAGTCTAGGCAAAAAGGTATGACAAAATGTTGTTCTGACCATATTTGTGAATTTTGAATAGAGGAGCAAAGCAACCAAAAGTTGAAGTATGATTCTTAAATAGTGATGAGTATGACCAGAATTTGATGCGTTCAATGGTTTGAGATGATTTTAAGTATTGGATGAATGTATGGATATAATTTGCATTAGTACTATCGATGTACATCTTACTTGTTCTACATAGATAAGATATATTCTCACTCTTTTGTGTTTGTTTTGTTGTTTCTTGTTTGGGTTGATCGTTTTGCAGGAGTAGACCAAATATGAGACCAAGCATAAGGGAGAGGAAGCTTAGTAATTTAGTTTGATGTTTTGGAGTCTTGTTTTGATAGTGTAACATTAGAACTAGAGAACCTTATAATATTTCTTTAGTTATGGATCATTTTAGATTTGTTTTATGATGTCGTATGATTTTAAGGTTTTGTAAAAGGTTGGCATCTTGGTTTGTGAGCTTATATGTTGTTAATTCCCCTTTTATAATATAAAATTTTATTAAAGAAATGTGAAATATTTTACAATATGTATTAATGAAGTCATATTATTTTTTATGTTTTAGTTAAACATATTTTATTAATGATCTTTCATAATAAACACTTTAGGGATAGAAGGGTATCACAAAGTTCTATTATATGTTTCTCTATGTCCAAGTAGATGTTTAAATATGAATAGACCTAATATATCATTTTGGTTCATTTTCACATGGTCACGTATATTTCACGTCTTACTTTATTAAGAAACCCAAGTCACAATTCCTATTATGCAAGAGGGATGAGTCTTTTCCACATCGCTCACATCCTTTCACATAATTCATTGCAAGTTCGATTAATTATCTTTGTAATTATCTTGTGTTGTGGATAATATTTGATAACATCAAATCCCTTACAACTCCTACATGTAAGAATTATAGTGATCTCAAGTTGAAATACTACTATACTATGGTCACACCATGAGAATCACACTTATGCCACTTGCATAAATATTATGAACCATTCTTATAGTGGATCCATCCAGTATAAATATTCATGACTTGTGAGATGTAATCATCAGTCAACTCACACAATAGTCAATGTATTATTGTTGTCCTAGACTCCTATTTAACAATAATACCGTATTTAAGATAATTTAAGAATAATGTTCTTTTTCAAAGAATTTCAATCATGTCACACTTTTATATCTTTGAATGAACATTTTATTTTAAAGGTGTTACTATACTAACACAATAGTTAAAATTACTTTTATATAAATAACAAAATATCTATATATCAAAGTCATGATACAAATAAATGATCTAGGATGAATATGATATATTAGATCAAGAAAATAGATTAAAAACCTAACTCAATCTTACAAAATTGGTTTGTAAAGTGTGGGTTATTCCCACTGTTAAACTCTTTATTTGTTTTATCTCTGGTCAACGTGTGAGATTTTTCTCAATAATTATCGCATTAATTATCATGTTAGCATTTGTCTCACTTGTGAAAATAATATCAACACTAATAAGGAATGAAAATAGGTTAGACCTAAAATAAGAGTCTATGACCTAATCTTTTTAAAGTCTTCTATAGTCTGGCTTATTTAATAAAAAGGTCAGACTTAAGCTTTTAAATAAACCTATTTATTTAAAAAGGTTGAACTTAAACTAATAAAAGAGTTTGCACGACCTGATAGGCTAACCTATTTATCTATAAGATTATATATATATAT